AGGATCCATGGTCCACACCTCGTTTAATGTAATTTTTTAAAATTAAAAAATCATCAAAGAAAATTCCAACAGTGCATCATATTCATATTAAAGCACCATATGCATGAAATAAAAAATAAACAGGGGATTAAATGGAGATTGGGGCCATTCCTACCTCGTTTATCACTAGCTTAAGCGGAGACGGGATGGGAAATGGTGTCCTCGCACCGAACTTGTCCCGTTGCCATTCCTTAAGTGTTAAGACTCCTACATCATACTTGGTAATAAAATCACTTTATTTACCACCAAAAATGAAGTATAAGTATTCAAACGTCTATCACATATGTTAACCTAATAGAGAATTTAATAAGCGGCAGATTATCTACCAAAACTTTCTTATTATTTTTTTTGAAAGGTAATCAAATATTTTATTAATCAATGCATAATACAAAGGAAGTGTACTATTAAGTTAAATCGGAAAGTAACAACATGACAAATCTCCTTATTTTTTTAACCAAGCTAATTTGTAAGTTTTACGTTGTCATTCAGTGGAGAACGTTTGCACCATCTCTTTGGAGATGGTATTATCTAAATTCTCCGAGTGTTGAACGGCACACCTTCCTTCTACGTTAGAAGTTGGTTGGAAAATGGTGTTGCGTTATGTGTTGGCGTCATTACTTTTAAGGGTGAGGCATGAGTGACACATCAAGGAGTTGTTTGATTTCGGCCCAACTCATTCTGACAGTGGGACCTCATCTTTCCCAACATCAAATAATGATGCTCCTTCATATTCTTCCCTTTCCACTTTGTCAACAAATAATTCCCTCTTAGAACAAACCTATGCCAACTCTCTACCGACAAAGTAGTGAGGTTCACCCTTGTGCATCCCGTCTTACCAAAGTCGTGGTTGTGCCATTGTTATTACAATAGAAGTAGGCCTACGGATGCTCCCATCGCCTCCAATGGCTGTCGGTTGTCCTATTGCTTGTCGGATGATTTGCTTCTCAAGTTGCATGGTCCTTTGGTGCGACTTTGAAATAGAAAGAGGTGTGAACATGTTTAACACTTGTAGTTCAGATTTCAGTGTCCAATGTACCTGAACACTACATGTTATTTAAACTCTATAATATTGTTAGAGGCCAATAGTTGGAAAACTTTGACGAATATATGTCAACAGATTGCACCCTATGCCTTAAGTTGTGTGCAGTTGTCATTGAAATGAAGGCATTTTTGAGGTGTTTCTTCATCTTTGTCCATGATTCAATCTCGGTTCATAGCTCCATGCTTGGCTTTGGCGTACAACCACCATGTCGGCACCCGTCCTCAGAAACAAGTCTCTATCAAAGACGCCCTACGTTTGTTTTCAACATCTTTAGATGAAGAATCTCCTCCACGGAATGTAGCTAGTCAAGGGAGTCATTAGCAGCTAGGCTATCTTGAAAATTTGGTAGGTGTAATTTCAACCAACTCATTTTCATCATTTTGAGCGACACCAACCCATTGTTCTTAATTACGTTAGGCAAACGAATTTTCTTCTCTTTTTGAAGAATTTCCTCCATGGAGTGTGGGAAGTCAAAGTCATGGGCGTCTAAGCTGGCATGAAACTTTGGTGGTGGGTCCAATTTTAGCCTCACTAGCATCGTCTTTCATCATTGTGATGATGCCAACCTACCATCCTTTATTGCATTTGGCAAACATGTTTTTGTCCACTTCAATTTCACTGTGTGTGTTTGGGTCAGAAGGTAATTTGCCTAAACCCCTAGTGTTGCGCCCATCTTATCTCACAGTTGTGCCATCCACGATGCATCTAGCATTCTAATTACGGTGAGCAAACCCACTTAGTGCGAACCCCACCCTGTGCTTCGTGCTCACAAAGCCCACCCAATGTGCCCAAGATATCTAATGTTAGGCGGGTTGCATGGAAACAATATGCGACACGACATGTGGAAATCATACTCTTGTAAAAAGTAGGAATCAAAAATACAGGTAAACAATATATAAAAAATTATTAATTTATTTTGGTAAATTCGATGTGTAACTTTACAGAACTTTCATATTAATGAAATGATGAAAATACCATAATCATCTAACTACATAAAGTTTCAAAGGATACACAATGTCATTTTAAAAAAAATTATTCATAATGAACAAAGACACAAACTAAAAAGTTCCACAAGTTCTTGAATTAAATTTCTTTTAAATACATCACTGCTATCAATATAACGGCCTCCTTTTTTGGTTGGAGCATGTCGTTTGACAACTATTATTTGGGGAAAAAAATGTTTTCAAAAGTGATTTTTAGGAGAATATGTGGTTAAAAAGTGGGAAAAAATTTGGGTTTTCGTGCATAATATTTTATTGTGTGAATGTGTGATTGAAAATGAATACGTAGAAAAAAAAGTTTTCAAATAATGATTGTCAAACAGGGCCTAAGTTTTTCTTTGGTTAAAGCTTTAGAATGTTTTGATCCAAAATTTCCTAGACGTTTCCCTAAGGTTTCCAAATTTCAACAGGAAACAAATTTTGTAGTTTCCCAAATGTTAAAAGTTCTTGAAACGTGTCCAAAACTGAAACTAAAGTTTTTTGTGCCATCCTAACTTGGGCGATTAGCATGAACATTCGTTGCGCTAACAGATCCATCTATTATCGCATGAGTCAACTCTTCCTGACTTTAAACTTCCTCAACATAGGCATACTCTTGGTGCCATCCCTGGGAGCAAACCACCCTCCACCAATATGGTGTAGCGCTACGAATAAGATAATGGAAAATCAATGATGAAACTGTTGATTCCCACAAATGCCGGTTCAATTCAATAATATGAATTGGAATAACAATCCATAGCAACATCATTTGGTTAATTGCAGAAAAATGAGTTCTGATATGTTATGATGTGGAACTTAAAGCAAGAAGTTAATAAACGAATTAAGCAAGATTTATGAAGTGGAAAGATAAAAAGAATCTAGAAAGAAATAAAGCTATCATCTTTGATCCTGCACTAATTGTCAGCATCTTCAATTTAACAGTGTTCATCCAGACCTTTAATTGATTCAATCCAGTACGAGTGAATCACCAATTTATTTATTTCACCAACAGCAACATTCAATTTAGCAAAGGATTCCTTCATTGCTATTGTCAATTTTGGGTGTTTCCACCTATTTAATTCTCGTTCTGCTTTCCTGATCGCATCATGTAGACTTGGGTTTTGAGGTTTAGAAGGATTAATTAGTGAGTTGCTGGTGAATTAGAACGGTGGATCCTTGATTTTATGCAAGTTTAATGTTGTAAAGTGGGAATAGGCTATTGTTTTCACCCAAAGAATATGGGAAAAAGCCCTATATCAGAACACGGTTCATTAATATTGACAGGTTCTGTTGGTGGAAAGGTGCTGACGCTGCTTTCCAAATGCACCCTCCCCCCTTCCGGCATATAGTAATTTGTTCTTTGCTTTCAAATGAACTGTGAGAAGAGCATTGAGATGCAGTTAAACACTCAGGTGAAATTTTAGAAGTTCTATAAAGTTTGTTTGTTTTTCCAGGAACTGCTGAGAAGAGGAGAAACTGCTACCTGAGCTATTCAGTTTGTTTCTGCATTTCTTGATCTGTAATATATCTCAACTCTCAATCTTGAAGAAACGACCTTGGTCATTTTGCGTAGTATATGAAGATTGAAGGTGTAGAGCATTTCTTCTATTTCAGTATAGATGTACATTCAAATCAATTAGGTGAAAGGTTGTCTGAATTGATCAGCTTAAACGTGAGTTAACATCCAGTGATGGTGTAATCATTTTTCAATATAGATATTTCTCCAGTTCTTACATAATGTTGCTCCTTGCAGAGAAAAGCCGTTTTTCTCATCCCTTTACTTAAGCCTCTGTAGTTGGATAACTTCTTTTGGATGACTGAAGCAGTAGTTGCACCACTTTGAACTTTGTCTGTTTATTATTTTTCTTCATATCTTTTGTCCAGCAAATGTGAACTGGCCAAGAAATTAAGGAACATATCTTACATTTTTAGAACACCACGAAGAACTTATTTTTCATGTTTGTAGGAAATGTTATCAGTTCAGCTTCCAAATGGAGGGCTGAAAAGGGGGAATGTTATCGGAATTGTGTGGTAAAAAAATCCATACAATGTTAAAAGGCCAACTTTAGATATCAGTTAATTAGACTTTCATGTGTTCTGTATTGAGTGTTGCATTTAACTAATATGAGAAACGTGCACGGAAGAGAAATTTGTGTTCAGAAAAAAAGTGGGAAAACTAAAAAGTAAAAGAATTATACTATTATAGTGTACATGCCATGGGTTACATTTTGCTTGGAAATTCAAAAATTGTTGACAGGAAAATGTTTTTTTTAAAAACTATCAATAATGTGTTGACACATGGCACAATATAAAAAATAATGTAAAATAAGATATATATGTAACATGATTGAAAGTAAAAACATAAGTGTGAAACTAATTTAATCGATCTCCTATTAAGACGTCTATTTATGTTTTTTAGTCATTGTTAGGACTCATTTAGAAAGTTAAAATTGTATTAGAGGATGCTATTTAACTTATTAATTCTAAATCCAACGTGACACATCAAACGTGTCGCAAGTTTTAGTGTCACTTCAACGGGACGTACCAAACCTGTCAATTCAGTGTCTATTTATGAATGTTACTGAAATTAAAATTGTTGAAATAAATGTCATATATCGCGAGGGACAATCAAATAAACGTAATCACGCCGTGAGATAAGTAACACCGTTAGTAAAATATATTAGCAAATACAATGCTCTGTCAAGGGCATACTATATAACCATTGAAGAAATTTCTTTAAATTGTACAGGGAAGTGCCACAAATTCATTGAAATCTAAAGAATCCTGAACTTACACCATTTTTTTGCAGTCCAACTCCAACAGATTTTGAAGAGGCAAGCTAGATGGAGATAGAACTCAAGGTACTCGAATATCATTATTTAGAGTGTGCTGGACTTCCTAGATGCATGAAACACAAGCGTGAATTATAGAACCACCACCTACCCAGTTGGTTTCCTCTTTCTCCCAAGAAGAGGGGCTATCTGGAGTCGAGGTCCACCCATCCGCCATTTTTTAAATGCAGCTATTGAAGATTGACCAGCCTCGTACACTTCAAAATAAATAACCATGAAGTATTGTGAAGAACGGATATCTATAAAAAAAATTGGATATATAATACACAAGCATCATTTACAGGTTCTACAAACTTACATTTAGCTTCTTCATTGGTTAGAAGTGTCAAGTATTTGGGAGCCACGGTCAATGTCAAGGTGTGGGCCTTGATCAGGACTTCCTTGTATCTGATCCGAAATGCAACTAGAAGGAACGGCCCAATCGTTTTGTCACCGATACTGCTCATTAAAAAAAATACAAGCTCAATGTTAACTCTATAACGAATAACTTACGGTTATTTAATTATAAACAATTTCGATTAAGATGCTTATAAATCATTCATATCCAGAATTGTAGGATAGAAAAGGATCGAGGGAAGAAAGCAATCCCAAAAGATTCAGTTCCCCTTATTCTAAATGCATCATACTACTGCCGTTGCGGTGCATCTCCAAGAAATTTTACATCTGGACTATCACAAAATACTATATATACTGTGAGACTAGAACACATTAGGTGATGGTGCAAACACAGCAGTGTCTCCATGAACAGCAAACAATTCCCCCAACAATTCTCTACTGCGTGACAACATAATAAACTAGGCAAATGTGCGTTACCATCACAACAGGTAACATGAACAAAAGGCCAAAGGGTAATAGCAACAATAGAGGATCAAATTTGGTGGCTCTACACTTGCCGAACCTGTATGTACTGAACTAGTTCTCTCTCAGTAACAAAGTTTTATTCAGATGAAGCATTAGGTGCAGTCATGCAGAAACATTCATACTAATTTCAGTCCCTGGGAGATAACGCGCTTATTGATACTTATAATACCAAATATTACATGGTTTTGCCATATTTATATTGAATTTCTGAACAAGAGAGAATTAAGCTTTATGTTACTGAATTTGGTTCTTTTTCCCTTTTGTTGTGTGTGTCAGGGTGGATAATTTTGCGCACTATCAAGTGACATGTTGGAAAACACCAGAGTAGATTGAATGCCTACGGGATACACCTAGGCATTCAAGACGCCAAAGTTGAAGTAACTTACAGTGGTGCAATCTTGCATCCTAATTCATAAAAATATGGACATCTACTTCTTAGATCCACATGTGCAGCATCAGCCCCTATTTCCTCCCGTGTTTTGGACCTGGAAAACAAAACATAAGAAAATAATCAACACTTCATAACGCAAGAAACAGATATACGAGAAAATAAACTAGTGAACTAGTAATTTTACCATGAGATGTAGTACAATAATAAAATTCAAAATAAGTAAGCTCGGTGCTCACACGTTGATCTTGTTAAACAGGGTAGAAATTCACGACAGTTCTTTTGTGGTAGATGAAAAGTAAACCATCAAGCCCCTTTTGTCTCCCAGTATATGATGGAATCATGGTCAACATGTACGATAAAGTAGCAAACCAGAAATAGCCAAACTCATTTTCACCTAATTATTGCAATAAAGATATGCAAGTTGAGTTATTGAGTTTCCTTGACATGAGAAGGAAAATTCTACAAACCATTTCATTAAGGTTCCATTTAGGATCTTAAATTCAAATAAACTACACAGGAAAAGCACTTAAAAACAAATTTACCTTATGCCTCGCTCACTTCAGTAAAATTTTGAAGTGAAGGCATTGCAATGAAAGTTTATCAATGTGTAGAGGAAATTATGGCATATTCTAAAATTAATTTCTTTCAATTGTTTACTTTTTTCATTTTTCTTCTTGCTTAATGAACCAAGATAATATTTTCTTCACATTCCATCTGATTTCTGTAGAATATGTTTCAACCCCACTACATGTACAACACACTAAGTATTGTACAAATAGATTTTTTGAATATGTTTAGGGTATGTTTGCATATGCATAGACGGGTCATCTAGTTAGTTCTTCATTCAGTTTATTCATGAAAAAAAGAAGGCATAGAAATATAAGGTATGGCTAATATGGTCTTACTCTTTGTCAAAACATGGTGGGACCCTAATGGAGACGAGTTGCCTCAAATACAACTCACAAACCAGCCAGAAGGGCAGTTCTACCTTCGATCCAGCTTCCACCTGAAATGGGTAAAAGGGCCTTGAATTAGCCAATGAATACTAGTTGAAGTCTTTAAAACAATAAAAAAATAAATAAAATAGCCTACTTTCTACCAGCTTAGATTGCTGTTTGCTCAAAATGTACCTTATTTGTATCATCGCTCGAGTCAAAAAGCCCAATCCCATTTGCAGCGTGTTGAAATACAGCTGGAACAAGCTAACATAAGAGTAAAATACAAAAATCAGTACCACAACTCTCAAACATAAATTACATAGGCATGCTTCTATTCAAGCATTCACCTCTTCTTCTGCCAATATATCATCAACATCATAATATTTTGCCATTCTGAGTGGAAAACTCGAGCTTAATATCTATCAACTTTATCAGTTTCCCACACCTGCAATCTATTGACAGCTGAAATCATATAACTGAACTGTAAAATGCGGATGTATAGCCACTCGATTTCCGAATTTTAAGAAATGTATGCATAAACTTACTTAAGCACGTATTATTAATATTCTTGCACATATGTGTATACACGATCTAAACTTGTTAACAGACTACAACTAATCTCAGTTTGTAAAGCATTATAACAATAATTTAACTTGGACAAAAAAATAAAATAAAATGGGAAATAAACATACATTAATAACACATTATACGTACACAGGTAAAAATGAGAGCAATAACCTCACAAACACAAAAAGGGAAGGAGCACGGAGCCCTTTGAGAGTTACCTTAAATTATAAAATTAAACTTGACACTTTTGAGCGAAAGAGACCACATGGACATAAACATAAAAATGAAAATGAAGAGAAAAAACTCACATACAGAGGGCGGAGACAGAAATTTGTCCAATAGGAGCATGACTTAACAACAAATCTTCAACGAGAATTTAAAGTCTTTTTTTCAATAGAAAGTGGAGATATTCGTTTAGAATCTCTCTCCATAACTTTTTCACATTGAATTATCATATGAAAAATTACGAAAATATTCAAGTAAAGAAAAAAAAATATATTATCAATTCACCACCACATTACACAAGCCCAAGCCCAAATTACAGAAACTCGCTTCAACTATAATCAAACGCATAATTCAGTAAATTAAAGATGCAAAAAATTCTAATTACACTAAGATCAAGATATTGCAATTTATTGTTAAGATGACACATAGCAAAATTACTGATTTCCGGATGCAGAATTCCATGAAATTAAGATATTATTGAACTAACCCAACAATCCACGTTCAAAAATCAAACAAAAAGTCGACAATATTTTTTGATAATTGAAAGAAACATCATAAAATGGTAAATGTCAATATTAAAACACAGGAAAAAAAAATTGCAAGAAAGAAATAGGCAATAACACTTCCAATTACCAAATTGCTGGTTTGTAAGGTGAGCCTGAGAGTGAATATCGCAGATTTTGAATTTAAAATTTGGGGAACAACCGCGGTTAGGGGGAGTGTTTCAATTGAAATGTTGGGAAATGCCAAAAAAATAACAATTCTTCAAAAATTATGTAGCTCCGCCATAGCAAGCAGATTCAAATCCAGAGAGAAGGAGAAGCAGGAATGTTGAATCTATGCCCTAGAAGCGGGAACAAGCTAATATCGTCAAATAGTCTGAATTTATTATTATTTTTTCTTTTTTTGTAAATTTTTATTTAGTGACAAACACGTGACGTTTATTTTCTATGAATTTGAATTATCGTATATATTCTTTGACCACGTTTTGAGCTATAAATCATCTCTCACTAATTTTGTGTCCTTGTCTAAGTAATATATTTCGGTTAGCTATTGATGTACAAGTTTAGTTTAATATGGGTTCTTTTTTTTATCCCTAAGTAACAAAAATCACAATAACACAGTTTTTTTTTCGTGATTTCTTCGATATTATAATCAGCTACTTTCTCTTTTTGATAAAACAATATTTAGGTCTTGTTTGAGCCAAATTATTGTAGAATGAGAATGAAAAATATAACCGTTATTGAGATCCACATAAGAGATAGAAAATTTGAATTTAAATGTTGATGTGATGGATAACGGTCATATTTTTCATTTTAATGAGATAATAATGTAGACCAAACGGGGGCTCAATTTTGATATTTTTAGGAAGTTTTTTGTCGATATGTATGATTGTATTTCTTTTTTTTTTTCTACACAAGTCAATTAAAAATACAAGATGTTTTTACTTTTCTTTGAGAATTGAGTCTGATGTCATGCTATTTATATAACTAGTTTAACAATATATGAGTTGGCAGACATTCTGTCCATTGATTTGAAAAACAAATTTTGAAATCAATGACAAGGATATTGACATATCACATTTCGTCAATCTACCTGTACAGATTCATTGTACAAGTAGATAAATTCTTGATTGTATACTATCGTAGTTGGATTTAAGTCCCTGTTTGTCTACCATTTTTCAATGCATTGTTTTCTACAGTAATCAATCTAGTTGGTATTAATTTCGATTTTCTATCAAAAAAAAAGTCTTGTAAATTATTGACGTGAAAAAAGTCCTGATTTGAGTTTTCTTTCAAAATTAATCGGTCTTGAAATGCTATCAAAATGGGTTGGTCACTTTGAGGTAGATATAATATTTGGGCCATGAAACTTGGGCCTAACGAAGAAGTTTGTTTTCAAAAATTAATAGGAAAACACATGCAAATTCCAAAACTGGTAAAATCGGTTACAGGTCGACTGGTTTTCCAGTTAGATCGACAAGTTGGCCGGTTTTTATCCAGTTTTTTTTATATGCTAAAAATCCGTAATTATGAACCAATTTTTTGTATCAGATCGTAGTTGGACTAGTCGTTTCGATCGGATTTTGAGAACATTGGTTAAAACAATAAAGTTTTAAGTGCATTAAGCAGTGACGGACCCAACACCAAAGTTCAGCACGAGTGGACCGACTGTTAACTATTGATCATTGACCATCGACAATCAACGATCGTAATAGCGAGATCAAAATTATTTATTATATATGTAAATGCACTAAAACGTAAAAATTATATACATATGAAAATATAATTCAATACAACCCAAAATACTACAAAAAATACGCGATACAACCTTAATTGAAGTATGAAATTTATTAATTTCAAAAATGACTCAATTAAAAATGTATCAGTCTAATAAGTAGCTTTTAATCACAGCCAAACATGCTTTTAGACCAACAATGCATAGATAACTATTGCCTTGAAAGAATAACACGAAGGAAAAATCGAGATCCCTGTCATCAAACATTTGTTATAATGATTTTGCAGGGTAAAGAATTCATTATCTTCCAACCTGCTCAGGAGTATTTGCCCTCAATTGAGAAGGTAATTTTACTTATTTTTGCTTAAGCACTTCCTCTAAGTGATTAATTTATTAGATCAAGTAATAATACTTTTTTATTCAAATAATTTTTTTCCTTTAACAGATGTTAAATGAATTGAAAACCCGAACCTGCAATATAACAGGGATTTTCGGCTTTCGTAGAGTACAATAGGTTTCGTCGTTCCTTATGGTTACACAATCGGCATCAGCTCATCGCCCGTCGACAGGAAGCAGCAATAGCAATCGGCGGCAGGCCTGGTCGTCTGGGTAGTTCACAAATCGTCCGCAGCACTGCAGCAGAGCAGGGAGGAAAAGTGGAAAACCGAACTACCGAATTTGGAGTCTGAAGGGTTTGGAAATTGCTAACCAGCAGCCGGGTATGATACTATTATCCTTCTCCATGGATTGGCCGATTATTGGGCCTAATATTTTTTTAAAAATGTCCAACTCTCCTCGGCCCAAAACTAAAAAAAAAAGGCCCAAACTATAATCTTCATCTCCTTCACTTCTTCGTTCGGTTCTGGCGTTCTGCAACTGCCACGGCCACTGGTTTCTGGCTCCGGCGCCCGACGATAACTGAAACTCCCAGCGGATCCAACACGGGCGGCCGCGGGGGCTCGCCAGGTGCTGGGTCCGCCCCTGCCTATTTGATTTGTTAAATTTTCAATGGAAAATGGAAAATATTTTTCTACTTTCCACTTTTGTGCTGTTTGATGGCACAAATTTTCCAAGGAAGTTTTTTTCCCCCCAACCCACCCACGCGCCTTTTTTTCATGTAATTAGGGAATTCATTTTCCCACCAATTCCAGTTTTCTGGCCAATTTTTTTTTTTTCAATGGAAATAAATTTCATAACTAGTTGTAAAAAAAAAAATTTCACTTTAATTGACAATTTTCATGTAAAACAAAACCAAACGAATACTAAACTTTGATAAAAAAATGGTGCAAAAATAGTTTTCGAGCAAACTTTTTTTTTAAAAAACTTTTTGGCAATGATAATAAATTTCATAATTAATTGTAAAAAAAAAAATCAATTTAATGAACAATTTTCATGTAAAATGAAGCCAAACGTAAACAAAAAGATCCAAAATTTTAAAAATTTTCCAACTGGAAAATTATATCAATCAAACACTCTTAATTAACAATTCCCCGAAAAACAAGTTCTAGACAATTATTTTTTATGGAATTCATTTTTTTCCCACCAATTTTTCACTGTTGCAATCAAACAGACCCTAAAAGTTTATCGGAGCGAAACTTTCTACCCATTAGACATGTTGTGAAAAACCCCCTATCAATTGAAAATAGCATAAGTGGTCCATGCTTGAAACATTTAGTGCGGAATACCTTCCTACCACCAATTCTTAATAAAAATTGCGAAATGACAAATATATTATCCTATTTAAATAAAACAAAAATAAAATAATAAAAAACTAATTGCAATTATAGTCTAGAATTTTTCAAAAAATAAAATAAAAATCAAATGAATCTTAAATAAATTATTAATTTTTTTTTAAAAAATTATCTTTCCCCTCCCAACACCACCTCTTCCCAACACCGCCTCCGCTTAGAGATAATAAAAAAATTCGTTCAACTCGATACTTGTGCCTCTCGAATGGGGCATGGTTTACTCGCATAATCGGGTAAATCGGACCAAGAGAAGGAAGATGTCATTGCCCTAGAGCAGGTACGGGGATTGGTACAGAAAACATAGTCTGCACCTCGTTTAAAGTTAATTTTAAATTTAAGCTTTTTATCAAATAAATATAGAAGTTTTATCATCATTTTTAAAGAGAACACGAGTTGTTCTCAATAAGTAAGAAAAAAAAATATTCACTATATATAGACATAAAAAAATTAAAGTAAAAAAATTTTTTTAAAAAATAAAAAAATAAACTGGACGATAAATGAGGTAGGGGAACTGTACTACCCCGCTTTGAATTCGCCCATCCCGCTTTAACCGGGCATGGGGAATGGGCAAAATAACAAAAATACCCTATATACGAAGATGAGAATGGTCAACTTGTCTTATATCCGCCTCGTTGTCATCTCCACATTCATCGTCGGAAGTCACCACGACAATAAAAAAAACCACATAATTTTCATCTCTAGTATCACACTAAAAAAAAAAAATCATTTTCCAAACCCTAGAACTCCAATTCCTCAAGCTCAAACACAAAATCAACATCAGCCTCATGTTTATAATGTTTAGCCCTCTAGAATTAAGCTCTCTTTCTAGAAAAAAATTTGTCATCCTGGCTGCCATACATTTACATTGGAGTAGGACCTACCTGGGACTCACGTGAGTAAAAAATTCCAAAAAAGTGCTTCCCTATTGTGAGTGTGCCGTCGGGGATGGTGTCAAACCCTCTCTGGAAGCATAACATCTTTGAACTAACACCCTTACTGACAACATAGCAGCTTTGCAATTATTCAGCCTTGTACTTTTATTCGTAATCTCACATGAGTCATCACACTTCTGCCCCTCTCTTTGTAGAATGCTGATTTCTAGGCATCCATTTTCACTGTTTTCAAATTTTGAACGCTTATGCTGGTCTCCTTGTTTGAGTTTAGAAATGTGACAAGTTCTGTTAGCTGCAACAACCACAACAGCATCTCAAATTTTAGCGAGGAAATTCATTATTCCCAATGAACCCATTTCAGATTCCAAACAAAATCCCCAAAACTCTAATCAAATCTAAGATCTTCGAAGTTTTAGTGAATGTTTACACACTCAAGATTTAGTGTTTCTTAGCGATAGGGGCAGTGTTGATCGAAAGTGGCGGTGATGGCTGTTTTTGGTAGGGCTTGTTGGAGAAGGAGAGACGCAGTTTTGATTGGCGGGTAGGGTGAGAAGTGAAAGATGATGTGTTTTTGGGTTTTTTTTTTCTTTCCTTTTTTATTTTGTTTGGTTTTTACAATGTAAGTTACCATTTTTGCTCTTAAGAAATTTGGTCAATTTTGACTTATTTGGTCAACTAACAGTCAAATTGATGATTTGGACTCCAGTCGCATATTTTTGAAAAGTTTGGGATTGTGGACGGTACAGATTGAAGATTAAGGTAAAATTCGTAAAAATTGAAAAGGTCACAGAACGCTCTATGATTTTCCCTTGAAATTAATAATTACTCCATCTTTCGACGGCCTACACCCAGGGCCGGTTCTGCGATTTTCGGGGCCTGAGGCGAACTCCCGAAATTGGGCCCCCGAAAATAACGTAACTACAACATATTGCTAACTTAACATTGAACAATAGAACAACAAACAAATAAAAGAACAAAAAATATATTATAAAGTAACATAACCGACAAGAGTTTAACAATATCAAAAATATATTATAAAGTAACATAACGTGCGCTTGTGCAGTTGATCCTACATGCTACAATGAACATTCATATAAGCCGACCAGGCTACAAATATATAAGCCGACAATGCTTCAAATATTTTCAATATATTCAATATCAAGTTAGGGCAAGCCATTGCTTACTTGAAAGTAGAAAATCGACGAAAATTATGGAATCATAATTCACACCCTTCAGAATTCCACTATCGCATCTCACAAGCCTGAAATCAAAATCATAGGCCTGTGCAATCAAATTCACTTCCCTCATATCTGCTCTGAATATATAATAATAAAAGTCCCGGTCTTCTCTGACCTTCAGTCCATTACTCCATTAATCACACATCAATAAACTAGTTTGTTTTACGCAGGATTCAAGAAAACTGAAAAACATTTAAACAAATACTGTTGAAGACTAAATTTAAATGCCAAAATAGTTTAACAATATCAGAGCAAATAAATATTTTGTTTCAAGGTTTCATCTTGATTTATGTGAGAAAATTTTACACCAATCAGACCTCAATGAAAATTGAAGATGAATCCAGTCTGTTCGTGAAAGCACGTGGAAGATTGAATTGAAATGAATTAATGGCTCCCTCTCTATTAGCTCGACCATCTAGATATGGTGGTTCAACAACAACAAATAAATTAAATTAAATTGAAAAAGGATCTTAATAAGGTAAACAGAAGCATAAAAAATTCAAGAACAAAGTCCAGAAATCCCCAATACTGAATTTAAATTACCATAGGCCGATAGTGGCTAAAAGACCCAACAAAATCCCCAATACTGAAATTGGTGCCCATATTTTAATCTTTTTTTTAAATCTTATGATAATGAAATTCTTTTAACTATAATTGCTATATTGCTAAGGGTTTAATTACATGCGTAGTCTCAAACAAATTACACTGGTTCTCCATTTTTCGTACTTTATTTATAATTACTTATTTTTGGCTATTTAAGTTTAAATCTAAATTTATCTTTTTACACCAATTTAACAAAACACAGCTCTAATGACAGTGAATAAAATTAATCCGAGAAATTGGTCAATGCAAAAAAGAGAAAGAATACATAGAAATACCGATGGCCGACGGACGGACGGACGGACCGCTGAGAGAGAAGCAAGAAGACAGACCGTTGAGGGTGGGTTTCAGAATTCGGCGTTTCGCCTTTCTGGTGCGTGGACGGTGGAACTGAGGAAGAGTGGAAGACGGGTAGGAATTGGAATGAAGTATTAAAAAAAAATTCTGAGGCCCTTTAATTTTTTGGGCCCGAGGCTAGGGCCTCACTTGCCTCGGCCCAAAACTGGCTCTGCCCACACCCACTAGAAATTGGAGTCCGGTCCATCGACCCGATAACAGATGAATCCGACTGGATTCTCAGAATTTGTTCATTTTCCTTTATCTTTCTTTACTGCAAAAATTTTGTCCCAATAGTGGCTTTCTTTCTCTCTCAGTTGCCGACTCTCCATCAGTAAACTCTCCTCTCTCTCTATATGTATTTGTATGTATTGGGGTATGTTGTGTATTATTTTGTAACTTTTAGGTTTTGATTGATTTTTAGGGTTCCGATTGTTAACAGAAGATTCGACACCGTTCAAGAAACAAGCGACGTTGTATGACAATCCACGAATAAAGATCGGGGCGTTGTTAATGTGTCTCTAGGTTTTGAATCTCAATTATCGTGAGCGAAATAGACATTGTGAGAGGGAGAGAGCTTTGTCAAACTAATTGAGGAAATTGGGGGTTATATTTCCCGATTGAGTTTTATTTTTGTAATTTTCGGCGTTTGTAGCCTTATCTCGAATTGAATAAAAAATAAGAGTGAATCCCTTTTGTTATTTTAGTTTATTGAATTATTATTCATTGTTTTTTGTTTATCAAGAGTTCTTTGTTATTTTTGAATAAATACAGATGAGAGATATCCGTTGTTGATTCTTTTCTTTTTTCTTTTTTTTTTACTTTTTCTTCGAATTTTGGTAAAAAAAAAACTCTATGGGTAGCCCTGGATTGAGTAATTCGGCTACTGCTACTCGCGTTGGATTGTCTGAGCCAATTTCAACTGGTGGGCCCAGTGAATTCGATGTGATTAAGACCCGAGAGTTGGAAAAGGTTGGTTCTTTATACATTATCTGTCAAGCTTATGCTGATTTTGTTGAAGTTTTGTATGAAAAGTCGATGTAGGTTTTTTTTGGAAGAAAATTAGGTATATCACGATTAACTTGCAGAAGATGGAACCGGGATTTTGTTATCATATGCTTCTTTTCATGGGATCTCAGATTTGATTTGAAGTTGGAAAAATGGCTTTTAAACATAGAACCTGAAATTGAGCTTGGAATTCAAAATTTTCTGCATTTCAATTTTGAGACTGGAATTAGGCGTGTTCAGCTGAGCTCTTTAGTGGTACCATCTGTAAGAGGTGGGGAATGGCATCTTTCCAAGAGTAGAATCAATAATTGCCTTTTAGGAACCTTTTAGGAACTTTATATTATAAATATATTTGAATTGCTTAGATGTCAACTAGAAATCCAGTTCCGTAGTATAAATTATAATTATAGAGGAAAGTGATATAATTTTTTTGAAATATTAGTTCTAGCGTTTGATTCTCTAAGAAAGGCAAGCAAAGAAAAGAACCCATGTTCTTCAATATATTTTGAGAATTGCCTCTTTGTGTTTTTATGGTGGTCAGCAAAAGGCCAGTTTCTTTGATCAATTTTTTTCCGTTTTAATGGAATAAATGCTACGAGTCCTTTTCACATGGTTCAAATGTTCACATTAATTTGAGCTAAGCCATTATTTTGCTTAATTGACCTAAAGAGAATTTGTTTTTCAATTTTCAATTTACTAATCCCTTATTTTTCTTTAAACTCATTTTCAACCAGACATTTTGTGAGACCCACAACTTTATCAACTTATCACATATATCATCAACTTTTACCAAATCTACTAAAAATCTAATTTTTAGCAAAACCAAATAGGGGCTAAGCTTTTGAATTAAATTGGAGGTAATTGCTATCTCACTCACTTGTGTTTGGTGATCAGTTTCTTGCTGATGCGGGATTGTATGAAAGTCATGAAGAAGCTATCAGAAGGGAGGAAGTGCTTGGGAGATTGGACCAGGTCCTATATTGTATTTTCAAACTTTGTACTTTTCTTTTTACAGCAATTGATTTATACATTATTAATTTTGGATAATTTAACAGATTGTGAAGAAATGGGTGAAGAATATTAGCCGTGCTAAAGGTTTTAATGAGCAACTAGTCCAAGAGGCAAATGCGAAGATTTTCACGTTTGGTTCTTATCGCCTTGGTGTATGAATACATCCAATTTTTACTTTTTTTTTTCAAATGTTTATCTGTTACTTATTCGGGTCTTCTTTCCTTCACAATATGGCCTTTTGCATTATCTCATTAGCCAAGTGACATGTGACTCCTTCATTTAAATCCTTGATGTATTTTATCTCTCTCCAGGACTATTTGTGCCTTTACCAAGGCTTTGTGTAATTCTGTGAGGCGAGGCATAAGCTTCAAGGCTCGAGCCTCTAATCAGTCTATTAAAATAACGTGAAAGAATATAAAAATGCAAAACTATGCTCGTAATTCATAAATTCACAATAAACCATAAAATGCCTTAAAATATCTATAATACAAAATTAAAAGTCGAATTTGTGCATTAGGCGCACATTCAGGTTGGAGTAGGCGATTGTAGCAGGTGGATGTTGGCACAGAATGGTATATTTTTAGTTCGCTCTTATATCAGATCTTTAGTAGAACTCGTGCAGAGCTCATTCCTATGGAAGATGGTGTGGCAATGTAAATTACCTCCACGGGTGGCCTTTTTATAGTGGACGGTTGTGCGGGGGCAAGCGTTAACTGTGGATAATCTTCGAAGCCCGGTACAATAATGTCAGTAATAAAAATGCCCTTAAGAGGCAAGATAAATGAGCAAACACCTTAGTTGCCTTCAGGTTTAGCCTTGAGACGCAAGCCTCACAAATTGTACACGGGTAGGATTTGGGGCATTGAATGATGGTATATTTTCAGTTCGCTCTTATATCAGATCTTTAGTAGAACTTGTGCAGAGCTCATTCCTATGGAAGATGGTGTGGCAATGTAAATTGCCTCCACGGGTGGCCTTTTTATAGTGGACGGTTGTGTGGGGGCAAGCGTTAACTGTGGATAATCTTCGAAGCCCGGTACAATAATGTCAGTAATAAAAATGCCCTTAAGAGGCAAGATAAATGAGCAAACACCTTAGTTGCCTTCAGGTTTAGCCTTGAGACTCAAGCCTCACAAATTGTACGCGGGTAGGATTTGGGGCATTGAATGAAATCCACATACGTGAGGTGAGATTAGAGGCATAGGTTTTCTTAAAACAACAATCTCATTCTATTTGGACGTCTGGTTAGAGAGTTAGTTCATATTAAGTTTTAGAACCAAATAGTTAGACATTAGAAAAAAAGTGATTAGATATGAAAAAGACTAGAAAATGATTTTATTGAATCTTTTGGCCAATACTAGAGTATGTAATGTGCAAGGGTAGTAGACGGGGATATCAAAATAAGTGAGTTATTATCTATATGTGGACACCAGAACAATTGATTATTTATGGAGTCGGGAATTTTAGTGGCAATTGCACATCTTATTTGAGCATTTCTGTTTAGAAGTTCCTCAAAAGATGAACTGAATTTGACATGACAAAAAAGATTGTAGAAGTTTCTCAAATGATGTGCAACGGAGATGACTAGACATTGATCTTACTTTTGTACATTTTGAAATGGAATAAAGACGTGTTAATGGGAAAGAAATTTCAGGACTAAAATTATTCCTGTCGGCAAATTTTGTCTTGGTACTGTGATTGTAAGCCTCTCTGGTTTTTTCCGAAGGTTTCTGCCCTGTCTCTTTTTTGGGATGATTATCTTTAGGCTTGGCTGCGGATTTTATCTTTGATGGAATTTTTATTCTTAATAGGTACATGGTCCAGGTGCAGATATTGATACCTTGTGCGTTGGACCAAAGCATGCTAGTCGGAATGTAGGTTCACTAGCCTTTTATGTCCTAGGAACTTTATTTTTTTGAATGTGATAGTTGATGTTGAACAAAATATTTTTGTGTATGTCATATACAGGAAGATTTTTTTGGTGAACTTTACAGTATGCTGGCAGAGATGCCTGAAGTACAAGAACTACATCCTGTGCCTGATGCTCATGTTCCAGTGATGAAGTTTAAGTTCAGTGGCATTTCTATAGATCTGCTTTATGCGAATGTGGCTCTCTGGGTTATTCCTGAAGTATGTATCTGTCATCTTGTGAATTTTTTAGCCAACTTCAACTTTGTATGGTATGGTGTCTCTAACTTCTAATTATACAATCTGTTCAACTAGCTATGTGTTGACAGATGTAGCCATAATTGAACAATGTTGCTTATAGTTGGTTGGTTTATTGGGTTTTACTCATTTTCTTTTTGTTACTTTGTAATACAGTATTGACGAAGGCCATTTTATTTTTATTTTATTTTTAAATGTCTGTGTTTCCCCATTATTTGGTGTAATTTCTAGGTATATTCTCCTTTTACTCTCAGTAACCTATTTTCGTCGTGTGATTGGAACACTGTCTTATAAGTACTTGTGTGCCTCTATATGCCAAGTGTTAAGCACTAGTGATAATTTCATGATTTTTGTAGATACTGTAATCAAATATTTATGTTGTTCTTATTGTGCATCTTTTTATTTTTTTAACATTTAAAGGACTTGGATGTTTCACAAGAATCTACACTGCAAAATGTAGACGAGCAAACTGTTCGCAGTCTCAATGGATGCAGAGTGACTGATCAAATATTGCGTTTGGTGCCAAATATCCAGGTTTGTAAATGGTACAATTCTGTATTGATGCACCTATTTTGAAAATCTGATGCTAACTGTCTTGCTGATCTGTTCTCTTGTAGACATTTCGTACTACACTGAGATGTATGAGATTATGGGCGAAGCGTCGTGGAGTTTATTCAAATGTGAGGGAGATTAAGATAACAGTTCTTGCATTGCGATTTTCACTCATGGATATGTGCATGGTGTAATTAGATTTTTTCATTTAGACACTGAATTTTCTTTATATGGCCAGGTTACCGGTTTCCTCGGTGGTATTAATTGGGCATTGCTTGTTGCGCGCATATGCCAGCTATACCCGAATGCTCTGCCCAGCATGTTGGTGTCTAGGTTTTTTAGGGTCTATAATTTGTGGCGCTGGACAAATCCTGTGATGTTATGCCCAATTCAAGAAGGATCTTTGGGGCTCCCTTTTTGGGATCCTAGAAGAAATTACAAGGACCGATTGCACCTGATGCCCATAATAACTCCTGCTTATCCTTGCATGAACTCTAGCTACAATGTGTCAACAAGCACATTACGTGTCATGATGGAAGAATTCCAAAGGGGAAATGAAATTTGTGAGGTAGCAATCATTGTATCTTGGTAAATTTGAAACTGGCTTTTGTGTAATGCTAAAATTTCAACAGTTTGCAAAGCTTCTGTTATCCTCCCCTCTTGCCCCTGAACCCTTATGGGACCCACTCGGGTAGGGTGCATAATGCAATATATTACTGGATATGAAAAAATGTGGTAGTCAGTGTTCTTTCTTTCAAGTTGCATGTCCGAAGAGTTTGAAAAGAGAGCTGATTTTTCTTTTGATCGTAATAAAAATGTCACATTAGTAACACGAGATGCATGCCTTCTAAATTCATCTCCTAGTCCATGTAACTATGATCGATATCTGGAGGTTGGCACTCTAGCAACGATGTTTGATGACCTTTTTGTGTTCTCAAGTTTAAACAATTTTTTTGATCACCATAGATCTCCGAGTGAGAGATCTTAGATGCAATTTACTGTCTCGTGGTTCCCAAAGCAGCATTCCAAGGGTAAAATTTGTTGAATTGACAGAGATGATACTGATATATTTATTTTCTATACTGTTTGTTGAACTTTGTTTCTTTAAGGTTTACTATTCTGGTTCCTTGGTGCGAGTTTTTCTCTTATGAGAAGGATTTACTCCTCACTTACGTGGTCTCAGGGTTTGTGCATATTTCGGAAATAAGTTCCTTGTCTTGGCAGTTATTCTTGATGAACTTTAGTTTTCTCCTCCAGCTGTTGAATGTGCTTGGACAGATGATTATATCTTGTTGTAAATGCTCCTTTTCTGTGACACTGATGTTTTCTCGCTCTGCTTCATTTGTTTGTTTTATGTAACCTTTTGTTTTATGTCACTTCACTAACTTTGATAATTGTACGGCAGGCAATAGAAGCAAGCAAGAGCAGCTGGGATATTCTTTTTGAGCCTTTTGCTTTCTTTGAAGCGCACACAAATTATCTGCAGATGGACATAGCATCGGAGACTGAAGAAGACTTGAGGAATTGGAAAGGCTGGGTTGAATCCAGAATACGTCTGCTTACTTTGAAGGTAAGCGAAAGTGCTTTCCCTGAGCTGTTGATTTCAGCCTAAGCTGTCATTTTTCACATTTTATAATTTCACTTGCTTATTACATTAATCCAGATTGAAAGGGACACAAAAGGTGTACTTCAGTGCCATCCTCACCCTGGTGAATTTTCCGACAAATCTAAACCATTTCACCATAGTTATTTTATGGGGTTACGGAGGAAACAAGGTACTAATCCTCAAAAAGGCGAAAAATTTGATATAAGGTTGACGGTTGAGGATTTCAAACGCGATGTGTATGCGTATTCATCCTGGAAACCCTCAATGTGGATTCATATATCTCTTGTGAAAAAAAAAGGCATACCTAACTTTGTCTTCCCTGGTGGAGTCCGACCTTCCCATTCCCCCAAAAGTGCTGCTGAGATTCGTTCGGTATCCAACTCTCCACAGGCTGCTATGAGCAGAAGGAAGCGAAAACAAGATGAAATCAATAAAGTGGTTGGCTTGACAGATTCTTCAAGCACCGCTGTGTCTGCCAGCGATGCAAGTTTGTTGGATGAAAGAAGAGCTAAGAGACAATTCGAAGCTGATGTTGTTGACACCTCAAGTAATGTGAGATGTCCTGAGAATCTTTCTGGAGATGGACCAGAAGTTGCTGGAATTGTTAAAAGCACTTCGCCAGCCATGCTTTCATCCACTGCTTGTGGTTCATCATTAGGTACAACAATGGAGAAGCCTGTCATTGAACAATCTTTGCAACCAATCGTTATTCATCAAGGTTCTTCGGACTTACTTGATGGGATTGGAGGTGTGCAACTGAAGAGTGAAGTTCAAGACAATGACAGGGACCAAGAGATTAAATTATCAGAGTTCTTCACTACTGATCAAGCTCTAGGAGCAGCAATAGAAGGGGAAGGTAGCAGTATCCAACAAATCGGGGACTTGGAAGAACTTGAGGTCTTGCCAGTTTCCTTTATACTTTTACTTGTATGCAGCTGAGATGTTTTTTCATTATTGGTTTAGAATTTCACGTGCTACTTGCCCATTTTACCTCAATTTTACATTGTTATGTGCTTAATTTTAGCAGTGTTATCTGTAGTTTGTCCATGTAAGTCATAAATTGGGCCATAAGATTGATTGGAATTGGGGACGAACTCATTAAGAGCTTCTCATAATACAACACTGGATTACATCACAGCAGTTGCATCCTTCACATTATCTTCTAGTTAGTTTGCTTGCATATGCATATCCCTATGCATGTTTTGGTGTTATTTAGTCTTAAACAATGGCATGATTAGGGAGTAATTTGGTTGCAAATCCCATATGTACAATTTGTGAATTGCTATGACAATGTTATCGGGCGGTGGAATCGAGATGGTAACTGACTATTTCCTTCAATTTTTTTCCTGTTTACCCGAACAAAGCCTCTTGAGCTGACTGCTGCATCTACTTCAACACATGTGCCAACACAGAAGCCTCTTATTAGGTATTGTATATACAAGTTGAAGAATTAAAAATGTTCTGATCTTCCAACATTTTTGCCAATAATATCCACAATTTATTCAGTTATAGAGTCGAAAATGCCCTGGATGGGGTTGGTTTGTGATTTTTGCTTGGTTGTTTGTAGATTCAGTTTCACTTCTTTGGCAAAAGCAACCAGCAACAGTGCATCTTAGGATATACGCAGGAGGTTGGCTGGAATAACTTCTGGGCTTGACAAGAAAAGGAGGATTTTCCCGATCTCAGGGATTTTCTGGCCATGGTATTGCAGACGTTGTAACTGTTGCGATAGGCCAAACTGTATAATAATGTAAATTTTCCATCAGATTGTAAATTGACAATCTGCATACCGGACACTTCTCCGATGTTTATTGTAATCCAATTATCTTAAGCTGGTAAGCAGTTTCTGCTGATTTTACTTTTTGAACCTTGTGTTCTTAATGATCTTTCAGCATTTCAATGAGATAGTATTTGCGTTGTTTTTCAATAGCAAGGATCTGTGCAAATTGTTCTAATTGGATTTCCATCTCCTTGGGAGTTCTCTATTATGTGATATCAGTTATGACTTTGATGACTTGTTTGGTAAAGTCGACGGTCCAAAATTGGACAATATGAGTAGGAAACCGATATTGTCTGCGTAGCACTGCTTGAGCTTATTGCTCAGTTGCGGTTTCTCTCGTCTTGATTCTCTTTTTAATTAAGATATGCTTTTACTAAGATGTTGAGAACTGAACGGCATTGTCTTTACTAAAGAGAGGACAGCAATTTGATTTGTATTTACTTTGCTTGCATCCATTTAGCAAACCGTATCAGTCTTCTTGAATTTAATGCTCAATTCTTTTGAACACTCAAATAAATTGAATCAAGTGGTTTTCAATTTAAAAGTGACCTGCTGTGAATTAAATGTACAAAATTTTACTTTCTTTTTATTTAACCTAGAATTTTGAAAAATTTTGCTACTCTTCGCGGGATATTCGGGAATCAATGTGTGCGGTTTTGATATTCTTAGAGCTCTGTTCGGCAGGGATTAAAATCAATTTTTTAGTAAATTTCGATAAAAAATAATGAAATGTATGGTTGAAAAGTCGTGTGACCCTTGAAATATATGGTTAAAATTCATTGTTAAATTTGAATTAGATTAAAATTTGGATTTTAATTCCTACCAAACAGAGGTTGACTACCGTGCTTAGCTTATGTTAAACATAGTGTTTCATTAGAAATTCACCTATTAAATTAAAATCAATTGTAAACCCACCTTAAAATCAAACCTGACAGACGTTCTCTTCTCTCGTACTGGATCGATCGATTCATATCACCATTTTTCCGCCAATTCAGATTTTCCCTAGTGCCTGCAAGATGATGATTTTAAAGTATGCCTGTGGGGCTACATAAATGTTCCTCAGTAGATCTGAAAAAAAGGAGCTGTGATTGAGATTCCTTTGGCCCTATTCTCATTTTCATTTGCCCTCTCTTGTCGAATGTAGCATTTCTCCCGTGTGCCTGGCCATTTGGCTCCGTCGAATGAATTCATGGGTCCCAATTCTTAACTATAGACTAGCTTTCTTCCAGGCCTTGCCTTGTAAATTGTTGTGACCAAAGGAGCCTTCGAAGTAATTAATGAACTTAACAGCTAAGCTAAGAATTTCTCGTGCTTTGGGCGTTCATTGCAACGTTGTTGATTTGCTAATAGAAATAGAGAAATGTTCGAAGGTAATATTTTAAATTACTTTTAATCTATTCATAGTAGGATGAATATGTTATCAATTTAATTAAAAAGATGTTCGACATTCATCACGTTACTATAGCGTAAACAAGAAATAAATAATTACACGTAACTTATGTATACTATTAGCATCATAGTAGGATGAAAATGTTATCAATATAATTAAAAAGATGTTCGACATTCATCACGTTCCTATAGCGTAAACAAGAAATTAATAATTTCACGTAACTTATGGATACTTTTAGCTTCACCAACTTCGATTTAGAAGCAATGTCTACAAAATTTTCCGACTAATTTGTTATTCACCGAATGAATGATTGACATATCATTTTAAATTAATATATTAAACTCTTTTCTCACTGCCACTTGTGCTTAAAATTAGGTGATACTTTAAAGTAAAATAATGTGTCATTGGACAACGAATTTTGGACGACAGATCCCATCTCCTTTTCAAGATGCGATGTTGATTACGAATTTGTAGTTGCCGAATAATCCTGCACCACATAGTTTAATATTGTTTTTTATACATAAATCGACATCCATTTTGATTGAAAGAACGACACATGTAAAACTAATATAAAATATTAAACGCTTTCCAAGCTAATAAAGTATTCATTTATCATTAAGTTAATATTCTGCTAAAATAATATTTTTTCCTAACCTCGAAAGTATTATTTTATAATACATTACCGACTAACTTTTAAGAATGATGCTACATGTTCAAATTAAGGATTATTTTCACGTGATATAATTTATTGACATCTTGTACGAGGATAGTTCTAATGTTACGTAGAGCATTACTCAACTTTTAATGAACCAATCTTGAACCGTCTCTCATAATTTATTCCACGCAGATGTCGCTCTTAATACTTGACTACTTGTGACGCTATAATGTTGTCTAAATCATACGAGTGCCCCAAACACACGTTGTCGATTCTTCTAGTATGGATTTAGAATTCAATAACTTACAATAACTCTTTACGTAAACTATCAAATATATGATTCTTCAAGTTAACATTTAGGCCAATCATTTCAAAAATATTTTTTAAAATCAATGAAAATCAATGGCCAAGATCTTGCAAACACACACAATATCTGTACAACTAGATTAATTGATGTAAAAATGGTNTTTTTTTTTTTTTTTTTTTGAACACTTTTTAATTGTATTGAAAGTTTCAAATCTATTCACATAATCTCGCTTATGTTACCAATTTTTTATCTCAACTTTTCATTAGCTAGCGCATGATCTTGATTCGTTGATAAAGTCCCTTACGAGCTCATTAAAGGATTTATTTACCTTTCATATTTAGATAAAAATATATATATAAAGCGAGATAAAATATTTTTCCTTCATTTCAAGTACGTTAATAAATATTTGGACAAAAATCAACATTACTAAATATAGGGACGGACGCAGACAATTAAAGTTAGGGGGACACAATCGAACTTGTAAAAAAGTTGGGAGAAATTTTATAATGAAAATTTACATTCAAAAAAATCATACCCCATGTAATTTTGCATCCGAAAATTTACATGAAATATGACTTTTTCAAATGTAAAATTTTCGAAATTTTTTGATGTCATATCTCATATAAATTTTCTAATAAAATAATGCAAATTATATTGAGAAATTTGTATCACAAAAATAATAAAATGTTAATGAAATAATTAAATTTTTTTAAAAAAATGCAAGCTAGACGTCTCTTTTTAAGACGTACGTTTAATGCATCTTTAACTATTTTCGATATTTGTTTAAACTATTCGATATACCTATAATATAGTCCTCGAAACGAGCTTTGAGATGATATAAGCGATTTGTAGATTCGACTACCGTACGATCGTCGGAGAATTTTTTAAGTTAGCATGTTATCGAAATTCTCAAAATACTAATTTTAAATCGCGTACTTTGACAAGTCGTAACATTTGCTACGGTTAGTCGTTTCTCACGCTGTTCAATACATAAAAAATTAGATTGTGAGTACTTCGAAATGGTATTAAGAATACAATATTTCGATTTCGTTTTACATCTTATAATGATTTCGAAAATTGAAACAAAACATAGAAAAAAAAAGGCAAAGTGCCCCCAGGCGCACCCCTTGGTCGACGGCCGGTGACTAAATAATGAAAGGTTGAGAATAATAATGCAACAGCTCGTACTATGACACGATTAGAACACAGAAAATGACAAAAACATATTTTTCAATCAAGATTTTGAAATGAAAGAATCGTGCTGGCAATTTGCGTGCAAAGACGTTACCCAGAGGTCCCCATTAATCAAACAAATTAATTAAGATTTTCAATTTGATCAAAGGGATTTTTATACCCCGTTGATATAAGGTTGGTCATGGGAGGATATGGTGGTCGGTGGACCACTTTTATTTCATTTTATTTTAATTCAATTATTACTAAAATCCTTCTCGTCTAATGGTCTATCATTAATTGAGTATTATTTAGTATTGCAAGTTGGTCGAAGATCCTGGCAAATATTTTTAGTCAAAAATGGAATAATCCTCCACCGGCCTAACTCTTAATTTATTACATATTATTATTATTGTTGTTGAAATTGTACAGTTTCGATTAATTGAGGCTCAATCACCAATTTCGATGAGATAATTTATTATGACTTCCATTCTAGTGGATTTAGAAAGGGGGTGAGAGTGAGACTCGACGTTTGAATTGTACATGGGACGAGTTTCTACCTCATACAACTCGGGCAGGATACCTTGCTGGTTTTTTCGTTGACTTATCATGATCCCGTGCTTGACCTTTTACTGTGCAAGTTGAAGCATTTTATCTTAATAAGTGAATCATAAGTATATTTCGTCTTTAGACTAAACTCCAATCATTCTACTTATAATGTGACTTGATACGTTCGAAAACGGTACACACTAACTCACGTGACATTTTATTTGAAGTTCCACCTACCAAATTTCGATGTTAAAAACAAAAAGAAATAAAATTGGTATTGAAAGTGCCCAAGTCTTTACTAAAATATAATAATATAACTTGTGCATATCGAAAATTTTCAATACATTGCTGGGAATTGTGTTGACAGAATTTTGTTACATAGAAGGTCAAACAAGCCGATGCAAAATAGGGAAAAAAAATTGAAAAAAAAGGAATCTGTTTCCTATTTCATTTATTAGAAATTTGTAAATGATTATATGTTCTCTCATCAAAGGAGTATTTAGAAAGTACGATGAAAGTGTTACACTATATCAAATAAAATGGGTCATCTATCCTTGTCAACAAAGTTTTATTTTGGGTAATTCGCACACAACGTCTTTATATTTCATTATTATTGTAGAAAACGTCATTATCTTTATTTTTTGGTATTTTTACCATTATTTCCACATTTCATTGCTCAAAAAATCATTTTCATTCATTTTCTCAATTAAAAGTTGTGAAATGACGAATATACTCTTTTGTTTAAATAAAACAAAAAGAAAAAGA